AATTGAAGCTCAAACAGTAGATGAAAAGATCTCCTCCTCTTGCGAAACTCTCTTCACATAAACACTTGTAAAACAAACTTAAAACACTTATAAAAACTTGTTTAAAACTTTTCTTAGATTGTTCAAAAGTTAGAGCGAATGAGGTATATATAGGTTCATGAAACAAAACCCAAGAATCAAGAAAATCCAAGCAAAAAAACCCAAAAATCACGTAAACTGGAAAACTAGCTGTTATAGTGCCATCAATCGACTTATACTATTCATCAATCGACTAATGAGCTGAGCGTTACAGGTCGCTCATCCGCTATCGGTTGACTGATGAACTCATCGATCGACTGATGAACTCATCAGTCGACTGATAACATGCATCGATCGACTGATGGTTCATCAGTCGACTGATAACATGCATCGGTCGACTGATGGTTCATCAGTCGACTGAGCATAAACTTTATGCTTTTCTAGCGCATTTTATCGGTCGACTGATATTGTTCATCAGTCGGCTGATAACGTGCACATGGTTTTTTGAACAATAAATTTAAACTTTAAATCCTCTTTAAAAATATCAAATAAATTCCAAAAAATATGAAACTTTGAAAAATGTTTATAAACATGTTTCAAAAAGAATTTTTTAAATTGCACTTCCCAAATGTGAAAACTCGTTTTTTTGCAAAATAGGTCAAAATACAAAATCTCAAAAACACATAATTTTGACAAAATGACTTAAACGAAGTTTTGAAATCTTTTGATTGGATTTATAGACTTAGGAAAAGATGTAACATGATGTAATTGAGTCTTTAATCCATAAACACATAATTCTGCAAATAAATATGATTTTATTGATTTTAAACTTAATTAATGAAATTATTTTAAGCACTTATAAATATGAAACGAATATGTGTGTATATAATTTTATTCATGTGTTTCAAAATTATATACACATATAGAATGATAGATATTTTTGTATTGTTAAGCAAATTGAACCAACTCCTCGGGAATCAGATTACTACACATGGTATTGAGGGATAACCCGAAGATGGATACTCCATGCAACCACAGCACCAGTTGAGTTACAAAAAGGATATGTGCCTCGGGGTATAGATGAAAGAGAACTATTAAGTATTTTTATATTTTTATTTAAGTCCATTTTTATTAGTATTTCTTAATAAAGTTAACATGTATTTTTTGACAAATTTGCAGGTATCAGCAATAGATGAAATTCAAACGATTGCAAATCATGGCATAGAATTGGCTTGAGCAAGTAATATAGAAATAAATATCAAATTTACTTGTTCAAATTTTGAATTTTAAATTATTTTTTCTGTCTCGTAGGTACATATCCCGAAGAACATGAACACATATCATGTATCAGTCAATAATTCGGAGGCTTCACCAAGCATTACACTAAACTCACAAAGATCTTCATGATAGACGAGAGGCAACACAATTCATATACACACATCAACCACGAAAAAGACGAGGACGACAAAGAAACGACAATGAAGCTAGACCTTCCCAACGTGTTGATGATGGAGCTGGACCGTCACAACCACAAACGCAACCGGATCCCAATGTGTTGTCGAAGGTCTGGATGGAGGAGGACGAAGACAAAGGAGGAGCTGTAGAGTTCTTGGAAGTATGTAAACGAACCATTATTGTTATTTACAATACAAACCTATTTTGGGATGCGAGATGGTTTTTAGTTTTGTAACCGAGATTGTGGTGTGATTTGTTGGACTTGTAATTGGTTTGTGGTGTGATTTGTTGGACTTATAATTGGTTTATGGTGTTATATGAGTTACACAGGGAATTGGCAGGAAAAAACAGACAAGAATGTGCACAAAAACGTGCACAGAATATGTTCGGGACTGACTACTAGTCCCGAACACTTGATGTTGAGCTCAGAAGGGCTCTCCTAAAAAGTCAGAACTACTAGTCCCAACTTTTAAGCAAAGCCTATCACGGCTCACCATCAAGTGTTCGGGACTAGTAGTCCTACACTTGATGTTGAGCGACAAGAGTCTCTGCTTAAAAGTCGGGACTAGTAGTCCCGACTTTTAAGCAGAGCTGAATTGAGCTCAACACCAAGTGTACGGGACTACTAGTCCCGTACACTTTGAAAAAACTTCAATGCTGCAAAACCAACCCTTTTTAAAGGGAAAATGGTCGGTTTTACTCATTAAAAATCTAAATGGTCGATTTTGCTTAATCATACTCCCTTTAAAAGCATGAGTTCGGGAAAATCTTTCTATGGTAAATATTGCCCTTCACTATTTTAAATATTTTATTTATACCTTAATCTATCCTAATCATAATTATATCCTATCCTAATTCTATGTGAACTATTTATAGCTTAACAATTTAAAAAATAATATTAATAAAATATATAAAACATCTTGCATTAGTTTGTTAAGATAAAGAAATTATACATAGCTAACGTACTATAATACATAAAATATTGTAAAAAACCTAAAAAGTTTTAAAATTGCATAAAATACCCTAAAAATTTCAAAATTATAAAAACTATCTCGATGTCTAAAAACTTAAAACAACAAATATGAAATCAAGAAATTAACAGTAGCTTGCGAATAATTTAAAATTTGTGGTTAACATCTTAATATCTCAAAAATTATAGAAACACCCTTAAAAGTTCAAATTCAAACAAGCACCTGAAATTCTAAATTTTCAAAACTTGCAAATAACATAGATGAATTTAAAGGATTACCATAACGCACCTGAAAATTTCTGACATTTTAAACATTAAAACAACAAATATGAAATTAAGAAATTAATAGTAGCCTCCCAAGAATTTAAAATTTTTATTAACACCCTCGATGTCCCAAAAATTATAGAAACACACTCAAAAGTTCAAATTTTAAAAAACAACCCTAAAATTTACAAATAATAAAAGATGAATTAAAGAGATACCCTCATGCACCTAAAAATTTTAAATTTGCCGAAATTAACCACAATGTTACAAACGTTGTAGAAAAATCTCTTTTAAAATTTAAAAATCATAAAAAAAACTCTAAATTTTTAAAATTTATAATCAGTACACATCAAATCTGAAAACTATTGATAGACCGCTAAAATTTTAAATTTTTAAAAATTAATCTACAGTTTTAACAATTGTAAAAAAAAAGTCTCAAAATTTCAGAGTTGTAAGAAATATCATGATATTTAAAAATTACCACCGACACATGAAACATAAAATTTACAACTACTAAACTTAAAAGTATTTTTTTAAAAATACTCCTAAAGTTTTAAAAATTACAAATCACACCCTCAAAGTTTAAAACCATAAAAAAGGCTAAAATTTTAAAACTTGGCAAAGAAAAATGACTTGTTAGGTATTCTTTCATACACACACACACACACACACACACACACAATCCATTTTCAGCATCTAAAGATAGTCTAAATTGATACTGGTAAACAAAAACAATAAGAATTGATTAAAAATATCCGATTAGGGAATAAAAATTTAAAAAATATTATAGCTTAAAAATTATCATTACCATATAAATTAAAGCAACTGCATAAAATTTTACTAATAAGTTGGAGCAGCAAAACACATTAGTAATATTAATTGATAGAAGTTTAAATCCATAAAAATGATAAAAGACTATAATATAATATCTTAGCATTAATTGATAATAATTTAGAAACATCAATCTCTGATGTTAATAATATTTATAGAGTAAAAGAATATAATGAATTACATATGGAGATACTATCAGAATGTTCAGAGATATCATTCAAAAGAATCAAGCTATTTTCATTGCAAATGAGAAAGTAACGAAAATAAATCTAAAATTCAGAAAACGTCCATAAACCATTTGAATTGGCTAATACATAAGACATGCCTATTAAAGAAACACCAACTAAGTTACATTAAAGAATAATTTAATAACTTTATCCCAATCAAAGGAGAATTCTCTATAAAAGATATAAAAAAATTTTAGTAAGCATTCATAAATTTCATACTTTGCTCTTCAAATACTAAAGAAATTAAATATTAATATTATAATCTAAGGCAAATTAGCAATAAAAATACAGGTATTTAGTTTATATCTTTGTGAAAAATGTCAAGAGTAGAGCAAATGTAATATTATTGACGTAACAGAAACTCTTATTGGATGCACATCAGAAGAATTTATTGTAGAGAAAAGTATGTATTTGAAGAAGTTTGTGTTTAACATCGGAAGTACATTTAACTTCTTTGTGAAGTTAAATGACAAGATAAAAGATTAACGAGCCCAAGAAAGATAACAACACAAAAAATACAACTCTAGCCTGATATCACAATCGAGTAGATAATAAAAACACTACTCTAGAATTGTCCGTGAAAAAGATAAATGTGAGAAATGATTGATTTTAGCTCAATAAAAAATAAAACAGAAAGAATAAAAAAAATAATATTTTATAAAATAGTTTAATTATTTTGAGTGAATTTAGGAATATTTAGAAGAGAGTTTTATGAGCTTATTTCAGTATTTTTATATGATTGTGCATTTTATCATATGAAAGTATACTAGAGTTAACATTATTCTTTAATTTATAATTTCTTATGAAGTCTATCAATGATTATGAACAGTATTCATATTCTCTTTTGTATCGTTTTAGTATATTTTTAACCGATCATTTTGACTTATTTGTTTTAAATATTCATATTTCTTATATAACATTATTTTAATATTTTTTATTTTTGTAATACTGTACTTTCTCAAGTAAAGCTTGGTATCATGTCAGTGAAAATAATATGACAATTTAAATTAGCTTCAAATTATATTTATTTTCTATCAATTCAAATATCAACATGAAAATTTAAATTGGGTGTAGCTCATTTAAACAAACGTCAAAGAAAATAAATAATCGTAATATTAAAGTTTAGAGACAAAAGTGAGCATAAGCTATTAAAATGGATTAACCATGTGCATTGTACGTGTATAAATCCTAGTAAATTTAAAAAAGGGTTTTTTTTTTTTAATTTGTCCTTTTTTCTTCATCAACAAAAAATCCTTGCAACGCGAAAAAGGAGAGCGGAAAAAGAAAAGAAAAAAAAACCCCCAAAAAGAAGCGATTTTGATCAAAGAGAAGGTAAAAAGAGAAAGCCATGGCGATCGACTACTACAAGCTCCTTCAAGTCCATCGAAGCGCTAGCGACGACGACCTCAAGAAATCCTACCGCAAGCTTGCCATGAAGTGGCACCCCGACAAAAACCCTAACAATAAGAAGGAGGCCGAGGCCAAATTCAAACAAATATCTGAAGCTTACGATGTAAGCCGCCCTCAAAATCCAATCTTTTTATCCTAAACCCTTAACTAAAACCCTAGCTTTTGTGTTGATTTTTAGGTCTTGAGCGACCCCGATAAGCGAGCAATCTACGATCAGTACGGCGAAGAGGGCCTCAAAGGAGAGGTCCCTCCTCATGGTTCAGGATCGGGGCCGGGCGATTTTAGGTTCAATCCTCGTAGCGCAGATGACATTTTCTCGGAGATTTTTGGGGGAAGTGGTGCTTTTGGGGGAATGGGACACTCTGGTGGTCCCCCAATGGGTGGGGCCCAGTTCTCAAGGGGTTTTTTTGGGGATAGCATATTTTCTGCTTTTGGTGGTGCTAGAGGAGGAGGAGGAGAACCGGCTGCTGCTAGTGCGCCGAGGAAAGCGCCGCGGATTGAGAGGACATTGGTTTGTAGCCTGGAGGATTTGTATAAGGGGACTTCGAAGAAGATGAAGATCTCGAGGGATGTCATTGATTCTATTGGGTGAGTTTGAATTGCTTATTTGGTTATTGGTTTTGTTGAAGTAATTGTTTTTATTTGTTAATTTTGTTCAGTTGCTAACTTAAATTGTAGCCTTTATTTTTTGGGATGTTAGATATCTTATATACAGAAAAAATGGTCATACATAGAGTTGACTTTGTGTAGTCAATTATACTTGGGATGTTAGGCACAAAGGATAAAATGGCAAGATGTTACTAAAATATTCTATTTGAGACCATCATAATGGATTTCAAACAATTTTTCATCAAGAAGATGTTCCATTTGTTCTAAGTGTGAAGACAAGGTAACAATTTCAGAAACTTATGTTTGTTGAACCATATAGAGAATGTTATTAGGAAAAAGGAAATTCAAACATAGGTATGAAAACTTTTATTTGCCTAAGAAAACATGCCTTGCAAATGAGATTTAAGCATGGGTATATGTTCTATGAGGTGGTTCTTATGAATGAAGTGGCCAGAATAAACGATTAGGATATAGATTTTGGCCTCATGACTTGTGAGAGTTGAAATAGGAATGCCATGTCAGTCTTAAGGCACTGCTTTTATGGGTTGAGACAATCTACTTTCAATCTGGAAGCAATCCCATTACAATATGCCAATGTTACAGAATGCGCTAGGTGGGCTAGGCATTTGAGTCGGGGCCTAGCGCCTAGGCGGCGCCTAGGCATTTACATATTTTTAAATTTATTTAATTATGATAATTTACAAAAATATGTATTAAGTTCATATAAAATTGTAAAAAAACATAAATAACAATTTTAGATCGATAACATTGAACAATTAGTAAAATTAAACTAAAATTGAACAAGATTAAACTAAAATTAACTAAAATTAGACAAATTAGCTAAATTAAACTAAATTGAACAAGATTAACTATGAGGGAAGAGGTGGATGAGGCGGCGACAGGAGAGGTGGGTGTTGACGGCTGCGGAAGGAGGCGAGGAGGCAGCGGGAAGAGTATGTTTTTCGAATCGATAGTAATCTGACGATGATTTTCAACAGCTCCCCATGTTTACGATAGTAACACGAGATACACACCTGAGCCCAGAAAGAACTAACACGCAGATTTGCAAATTGGAGCTGCTACATCTTGTTACTCTATGTATGTATGATATATATATAATGCATATAGTGTATATATATACATTATATATATACTATATATATGAGGCAGTGAAATGGAGAACATGTACCAAGTTGGTTAAGAATCAACTGGTAGTGATTGACCTAATCTTGGCCTCCTAAACATCAGCACCTTCAAGATAAACATTGGTACCAAGTTGTTTAAAACGAACTTGGTAGTAGATGGTGACCTAATCTTGTCCCTACAAATCACACCTACAAAGATAGATGCCTCAACCACCCTTCCCATCACACGTCCAACTGTAGATGTTTGTAGGGACAAGAATTAGCCACATCATCTACCAAGTTGCTAGGAGCCACTGGTAACCGAAGTTTCTCGCCATCTCTCTCTCTCTCCTCTCTCTCCATCTCATCTCTCAGGTCAGGATCCTCTTCTCTCTCTCTTTCTATATATATATATACTAATATATAAATATAAGTAATAGATTAAAGCTCCTATAAACCTTAGTGATAGAAATATTTCCAAACACCAAGTTTTTATTCTATGTAGGATTGCGCTTTGAGATTTGTGCAGAACATATAATGGACTTGAGATGTGTGCATTGATTCTGCATCACCATGCTAAACAGCAAAACTCAAAACAAAATCTAATGGATAGAAAAAGTTGGTTGAGCAAAGGTCCTTTCTGTCCACTCAAGTTTATAGGAGTTTTACTCTTAGTATACACACACAAGTACAAATGAACAAATACACCCTCAGAGAAAAAGGATGGAAAAAATCAAATGCCCTTCTCTTCATTAAGCATTGTTTCATCCAGGGTTTTATGCCAATACTTGGTTAACATATGGTTAATTTTATCCTTTCAAGCCGCAGCAAAGCTATGATAAAGGAGAATGGTCAATTTAAACGTTGAATGCCAAAGGCTAAATCAGACATCCGTGTAACTCCATGAAACTAAGCTTTTTTTTTGTGGGGGGGGGAGTGTTTGGGGGGGGGGAAGTTTGGGGTAACTAAAGTAGTGTAAGATCAAAAGAGAAACCAAAAATCATTCAACGTCTCTGCTAAGGCTTCACCGGAGTTAGGAGTGGACTTCTTTTGTAAATAAATAATATAAACAATAGAAGGGAAATTAAAGAAACAAGAAGGAAAACAAAAGTTAGAAAAAGAAATTGGGGGAGTGGATGGAGTGAAAAGCTCTTTGTTTCCATGGTGGTTGCGCTTAGTAACAATATGAGAGCGCAGTGCAGGGCAGGAAGTTTCATATTAGATATTGGATTCTGCCACAAAAAAATTAGAAAATCTCCAGTGCTACAATGAAATTCCGTGTTCCTCCAAGAAGTTGCAAATGTCTATTTAAACCATGATGAAATATTTCTAATAAGTACGTCATATAGGTCCATAAACGACAGATTACTTTGTAAGACAATCTGGATCGGCTTAAAACCACTTAATCTTTTTGTATAGACTATTACTTTACTATGGGAATGAGTATTTGAAGAGGAAAATTCTTTTGTCCAGCAAACGATTAAATTCTTGCTATGGCAAACAAAAATAGCTTCTATTATTTACTTTAATTGCCATTAAAATACAAAACAGCAAACACATAGTGCCTAGTTCCTACAACATGAGCAAGAAAGATGAAAGAAACAGCAAGCAGGACATAAGCCAAAACATGCTAATAAGTCCCAAGTGTTCTAAAAAGCGGCCTACACGGACGTATACGCGTCCCCAAGGCGTACGGAGCAATACCGCCCTAGTTTGGGGCCTTTGGCTTGAGCTGCCTAACTAGCAATGGTCCGCCTAGGCGGCGGCCGCCTAGCTTTTTTTAAACAATCAAAAAAAAAGCCGCAAGATCATTAAGCCCAGCCCCAAAATAAACACAACATGAGACCCATAACCCAAAACCTGACCCGCTTACACTTTAAAATCCTAACTAAGCCATATCTCCTTCTCTCTCTCGGTATCGCCACAGGCCAGCAGGCCAATTCAAATCCGCAAGCTCTCCTCGTTCATGCCTCGCCGCCCTCCGTCGCCCGCCATCCGCCCCTTCCTCCTCTCTCACTTTCCTCCCACAGTCGCCAACACCGCTGCACTATCTCTCTCTCTCTCTTCCTCTCTCCGTCTCTACTCGTCTCAGTCTCTCTCTCTTCTCTCGTGCTCCTCTCTCGAAGAGAGAGAGCTGCGGATTGATTTGGGCTGTGGCTGTGGGATACGAGAGAGAGAAGGAGATATGGCTTAGGTTAGGATTTTAAGTGAAGCGGGTCAGGTTGGGTATGGGTTCATGTTGTGTTTATTTTGGGCTGGGCTTAATGATCTTGGGCTTTTTTTTTATTGTTTAAAAAGCTAGGCGGCCGCCGCCTAGGCGGACCCATTGCCTAGATTAGGCGCTCAAGCCCAAAGGCCCCAAACTAGGCGGTAATTGCTCCGCCTACGCCTAGGGGACGCCTATACGTCCGTGTAGGCCGCTTTTTAGAACACTGGGATATACATGTTTGGCTTATGTCCCTGCTTCTGTTTCTTTCATCTTTCTTGCTCATGTTGCTAGGAACTAGGCACTATGCTGTTCTGTGTTTTGTATTAATGGAATAACGTAAATAATAAAGTATTTGTTGCCATAAGCAAGAAATTAATAGTTTATGCTGGAAAAAGATTTTCCTCTTCAAAATACATATTCCCAAGAAACTAATTTAGTCTATACAAAAAGATTAAGTGGTTTTAAGCGATCAGATGGTCTTACAAAGTAAATCTGTGTTTATGGACCTTATATGACGTACATTATTAGAAATATTTCATCATGGTTTAATAGAACATTTGCAACTTACTTGGAGGACACGGAATTTCTTGTAGCACATGGAGATTTTCTAATTTTTTTTGGAGAATCCAATATCTAATATGAAACTTCCTGCTGCACTGGTCTCATTTGTTACAGGCAACCACATGGAAACAAAGAAGCTTTTCACCTCCAATCCACTCCCCAATTTCTTTTCTAATTTTTGTTTTCCTCTTGTTTCTTTAATTTCCCTTTATGTTTATATTATTTATTTACAAAAAGAAGTCCACTCCATAAACTCGTGAAGCCTTAGCAGACTTGATGATTT